TCCGGGCCTAGCATCCATCACCTCTTCGGTTCCGTCCAGTTGAGACGAGAGTTTTTGCGCTTCACTCCCTTAGTTAAGCAATGCGCTCCGTCAATGCTAGAAACTAATGGAGCTAATTTGTGAGTGTACGAATGTGCTCGGTGTGCACGAGCTGGTCTCGCTTGCGTGATGGAACCCTGCAAGCGTTACCGGTTGGACAGTACGTGCTTCTATAAAGCTGCAGACTAATGCCGAGGACACACAGATAGAAGCAAAAAAACCGTTCTTGGTTGAACAGTTCTGTGCTAAAATGTGTAATTCAAAATTCTGTAAACAATGACATGAACAATAAGCTTTACTGACGAATCCGAATTACGCATGTCATCAATAGTCTTTCATTGGTTGTGTATATACGAGTACAAGCGAACTGCGTCTTAGGAAAGCCAGATGACGTTATGCTCAGATGCTTGGGTTTTCAGATGTTCTTTACCGTCTTGTACAGAGTGCCATGGAGGCCTTAACTCCTTAGCTCAGTATCGTCGTCTTCGATTGAACTATTTCTGTGATACTTTTCTGAACTCGTATTCTGTAAGAATAGTTATGTTAAAGTTACATTGTAATTAAACATGATTTTCAGCAACTATCGGAGCGTAACGTCAGGGGCACAAAGGCGCTGAACTCAAGTCTCGCTACCAACCATTTATACATCCGTAGTGTGTAGTGGCACCTCTTCAGACGTGTGTTTACTCTTCCTTCCATGTTGTCTCATTCGTGCAACTTTTGTAATTTCATGTGAAAGTGACCGCCTGTGCCTTCAGATGTGTAATTTTATGTTGTATGATGTTATTTTTTGCTCTTCAGACCATTAATGGTCGTGTAAATATATCTGAAACGTTTGTTCGTTTGTGGCAGAGTAAGGAGACACCTGTTGCATATATTTTTGCATAACAACAAATCTACGCGCTTCCAAATATCTCGCCGCGCTTGAGCGGTATGATATTACAAATCGGGGGCACAGTATGTTGTTGTGCCTCTGCTAAACAGTTTAATCCGTATCCAGTCTCAGTAATGGCAGGTCTTTCTTGGAAAGTACGAGATGCCTAGCAGCGTGTTGATCGTGTCACCAAATTCTTGTTATCATACTCTCCGTATCACAAAAAATCATTCAAATTCTTATCAAGAGCTGAAGGTATGACCTTCCATGACAGTAGTTATAATTTGCATTCATAATAATGTCTCAAATTAGGTCACTCAGGATGTACCAGTATAATTTTCTCAATATCGAATCCGCATTAAAATTTGGCTTGTAACAGAATATTAACTGAAGTTGGCATACGAATGAACGTTTGCACTATGGCTCCTACAATCCAGATCCGCCTTGAATGTTTGCTGTTCACTGTTCATTGTTTTGTGTTGTTATTCTTTGTACGCATGTTGTATCGATGTTCAGTGTTCAGTGGAATGTTGCCGGGCTCAAGAAGAAGGCAGTATCAGCAAAATATACGATACTGAAACATGACTATAGCAGTAGAGGCATTGTCCTTTTGAGAAACTTCTTTTTTTGAATTGAAATTAACTGCAATGCTGCTCAATCGCACAATTTATATTGACGTTAAAATACCATATAATACATACAAATCAACACAATTCATTCGTCGACTTAATTGCGTTTGTGATGTCTCTGACATCATACTTGCAAACAATTAGGCTGAATAGATTGTTATAACCAATGGTAGTTTTTGTATCTTAAAATCACATTACACCTTTGCTAATTATACGAGCTGTTGCTGCTTTTTTATGAGATTTCTTCAGTACCTGTCGTTTGTGATATCAGTGGCCCTCCTTGTTACAAATATATGTTAATACAATACGAAATAATTGAGAATGCATGATGCCGAATCATTCGGACACTTATTTCCGAAAAACTCGTGTAGCATGCAAGTCTTGCAAAATGCTTCCTTACGAAAATGCATTGTCTGCCTAAAATCCTCTTACTCTGGTGAATTATCTCGCTTTGCACCAATCGCTTTCAATGTTTCCCGATTCAGGCGATATGTGCGCCAGGGGTTTTTGCATTCAAACATTTAAAAATGAATTGAGTCCTTCTAGTATTAATTTCTATAAAATGTGAACATTTAGAACAAATTCATCTTTGAATTTGCAAATTAACTCTCCGTTAACGATTTCCTCCTAAAAATTATATTTTTGATGATACAGATACTAGTTTTCAAACATTCACCTGGTTAGGAATACTGATAAGCAAATATTATTTGTGAATTACTTATTAAATTTCTACTGGCATTACCCAGGACAAATTCTTTAGATCAGGAGAAATCTGGTATAATTTCGAGTAAGATTAAGAATTACTTATTCAGATAAATAAGGGGAAAATTATGTCTTGAAGCGATTGATCATAGAAAAACTCTAAGATCCAGTGGAGAAAGAAAATTCCAGTTCGCAACCAAGAACAGTAGGACTTCTTGGAAATTTGCGTAAATCCCTGGTGCTCGCGTTAGCTCACGTCTCGCTTCATATTGTGGCCTGGTGCAGTTTGCAGAGACCATGGTACCAAGAGCCTCCCCGTGTGATGGACCATCCGGCGACTTCCGGCTTCCCTCCACCGTGGCAGCTGGGCTTCCCGACGGTCCTCGTTTACTGCAGCCGCATCGCGGCGGGTCTGCATTGCCATTCGGGACACCACGACTGTCCACAAGATATCTGGCGCCGTCAGCGCCAAGACGAGCGCCAGTCCCACAATCCACAGGCCATGCGTGACTGGCGACACCCAGAGATGCTCAAGCGCTTTGCGCAGCATTTGCGCGCCGCGCGCGCTCAAGGGAATTCGGATCCCAATCCGAACCCGAACCCGAATCCGAACCCTGACCCCAAAACGGCGCACGCGGCTTGAGCGTGGCCTGTGGCGGGGACAGCGGTCGGTGGCTGCGGCGGCGGAGTCGGAGGCCGGCAGCAGCGAGCCGTAGACGCGGCCGGAACCGTTGGGGGCTGCGCAAAACGGTACCGTACGTCGCGCAGCGGTACTCGCGTGTCGGCGCTGCGACGCTCGCGGCCGGCGCGATGTCACGGACGGCGTTAGTGCAGACCGTATCGTCGCTGCCGCCGCGCCGCCTCCGTCGGCTTGCCAAAAGGGTTCTTTTAAAAAGCGTCCACACGCGTCGTTATGGTCTTTTCTTTACTTCTAATGCGCCTTTTCGTATTATTCGTAACTTTCCAAACAATTCATATTTGTTTATTTAATTCAATTTCGAGTGACAATATCAGGCCATTTCAGTTCAATATTCGATTTTTTCCCGTTTGCGTCTCGCAATTTCTTGACTTGACGAACGGGCTATTTTCATAGAAAATTATTTGTGGAAACATCTCACGTGATGTCTCAGTTCTTGTAATACTATGACTTCCGTAAATATAAATTTAATTGGGTTTCACTAAGTTAATCGGAGGCCGGCAGCAGCGAGCCGCAGACGCGGCCGGAACCGTTCGGGGCTCCCGATTTAACTAAGTGAAACTGGCATGAATTTCGACGCGTGTTGTAAAAGACCAGACGCACAAAGGTCATGACGGTGGGGAAAGTAAAGCAATTTTTTTAAGTTATTAAAAAATGTTCAAAAAGTAAGAAGGCGTCTCTTTTGTACGCTTGATTGCGAAATAACTATTCTGATTGAAAATCTTGAAGTTAAGCAGAATGATACATTCTGTATTTTTGGCCAGTTCGTTATTCGTAATGAAACAATTTATAATTTCATATAGTGCCATAGGTTCTCATAATCAAATTTCCAGCTTGAGAATCCGTATATTCCAGTTTCTATCGTGAATAACCCTCTGAAAGCATCTTTTTTTTTCTCGATATGAAACTTCTCGCTGAAAACTTGTATGCTCAACGAGACAATAGAGTAATCAATAATTCTGACTGGTTTCCATTAGAGAAACAAAGATTTTGATCGGCCAACTTATCAGGGGGTTGCTTTATTTTTTAAAGAAATGTACTATTTATGTAGTTTTCATATTTGTCTACGATTACAAATGTAGGGGAGGGATAAGCTTTTCAGACATTTAATATTTTAGGCTAGTATGCAGACGTGACCGTTACCATAGTGTCGGGAGATTTTCATAATATTTTTTATAGAAATGGGAGCAAGTAAATTGCTATTTACAACAAAGAATGTAGATGGACTCAAGAAAATTAGAGAGCTCTAGTTTTCTATCTTTGTAAGAATGAAAATCATAAATGAACAGAAAGGAAACATCTGCG